TTAAGGGCATGTATGATAGACCTATGGCTAACATACTTAATGGTAAAAGACTGAATGTTTTCTACCTAAGATCAAAAACAAGGCAAGGATATCTGCTGTCACTACTTCTGTTCAAAAGTATACCAATAGTCTAGCCAGTGCATTGATTCTGAAAAAAATTGATTTTTTAAAGTCATCCAAATTGGAAAGAAGAATCAAAACTATCTTTATTTGTAGGTAACATGATTATCTGAGTAGAAAAATCTTATGGAATCTAAAAAATTCTACCTAATATTGAAGTTGCAAAATCCTAGATTAAATTTTTTTTGAAACAGGGTCTTACCCTGTTGCCCTGTCTCAGGACTGGAATGGAGTGGTGTGATCACTGCTCACTGCAGCCTCAACCTCCCAGGCCCAAGTGATCCTCCCACCTCAGCATCCCAAGTAGCTGGGATCACAGGCACATACTGCCATGCACACATAATATTTTCTTTTACAGAGATGGGATCCCCTATGTTGCCCAGGGCTACTCTTAAATTCTTGGGCTCAAGAGATCCTCCTGCCTGGGCCTCCCAAAATCCTGGGAATACAAGCATGAGCCACCACACCCTGTGATGAATATATAAATATTAATTTATTTCTATATACTGATGGCAATCAGAAATTTAAATAATATTTACAATAGCAACAAAAATACGAAATACTTCAGGATCAACCTGATGAAAGATATGTAAAACCTGTACACTGAATAAACTATTGCTGAAAAAAATTAAAGAAAACCTAAATAGAGGGAGAGATACTATACTTTATGGGTCAGAAGACTCAATATTATTGTCAATTCTCTTTAAATTGACCTATGGATCCAAGGCTATTTCAGTCAAAATCCCAGTATGATTTTTTTTTTTTTTTTTAGAAATTAACTTGATACTAGGAATTATATGTAAATACAAAGTATTTACTATAGCCAAAATATATATATATATATTTTTTTGAGACGGAGCTTCACTTTTGTTGCCCAGACTGGAGTGCAGTGGCGTGATCTTAGCTCACCGCAACCTCTACCTCCAGGGTTCAAGCGATTCTCCTGCTTCAGACTCCCAAATAGCTGGGATTACAGGTGCCTGCCACCATGTCTGGCTAATTTTTTGTATTTTTAGTAGAGACAAGGTTTCACTGTGTTGGCCGGGCTGGTTCCTAACTCCTGACCTCAAGTGATCCACCCAACTCAGCCTCCCAAAGTGCTGGGATTACACCATGCCAGACCCAAAATAACTTTTAAAAAGGATAACATTGGAATGTTAACACTGATTTCAATGTTTATAATGTTACAGTAATCAAGATAGTATGCTATTGAAAGTCCAGAAGTAGACTCACACACATATATGGTCTGTTGATTTTCAGTGAATGTGCAAGGGCAATTTGCAAAGTATACTTTTTTCTGATGGATGGTACTGGAACTATTGGATATTCCAATGAAAACTATTGATCTCAATCCATACCTCACCCATAATACAAAAGTTAACTCAAAATAGGTAGACCTAGAAAATTTGGGAGAAAAATCTGTGTCTTTGGGCTAGGCAAAGAATCTTAAACAAAACACTAGAATCATAACTCATGAATGGAAAAATTGTTACCTTAAACTTCCTCAAAATTAAGAACTTTTGATTTTCCAAAGACATTGTTAGAATAAAAAGATAAGTCATAGAGTGGGAGAAAATATTTAGACAGTGCATATCCCACAGTAAACTTTTATTCAGAATATATAAAACTTTTAAAATTTAATTATAAAAAATTAACCCAATTTAAAAAATTGTTTTAACAGATATTTCACCAAAGGAATATTGTAGCAAAAAGGCATACGGAAAGATGCTCTGCATCATTATTCAATAGGGAATTACAATTTGAAACCACAGTTAGGTACCACTGCATATCTAGTGGTATAGTTAAAATTCGAAACAAAACAAAAACTGAACATATCAAGTATTGACACAGTTGTGGAGAAACTGGAACTCATATGCTGTTGATAGGACTATAAAATGCTAGAACCCACTTTGAAAAATAGTTTGGCAGATTCTTAAAAATTTAAACACTTAAAAGCCAGGTACTTTTAAACATTTTCAACCATTCTAAGCCTCAGTTTATTGATCTGAATTTCTGGCACAGAGTAACCATTCAATAAACAAGCATTTATATAGGTTTATTCATTTGCTTGAGACTATATAGCTTTTATTTTCCTTAATAAAAGAGTATCCTTAAAAAAAATTAAACACTTATGATATGATCCAGCCATTCCATTCCTAGGTATTTTCCCAAGAGAAATGGAAGCATGTGTCCACACACAGAATTTTATATGATTGTTCATACCAACATTATTCATAGTAACCAAACTATGAAAGCCAAATGACCCTCAGCAAGGAATAGATACACAGTGTATTCCATGCAATAGAATACTATCCACCAGTAAAAAGAATGAACTCTTGATATGTACAACAGCATGAATAAATATCAAAAAATCTATGCCAAGTGAAAGAAATCAGACTCACAAAAGTAAATACTGTATATTTCCTCTTACATAAAATTCTAGACGTACAAACTAACCCAAATTATAGCAAGGAAATGAGTAGTTGTCTGTGGTCTCAGCGGAACACTTGTAGGCTGTTAATTAACATGATTATAATGATGCTTTCACAAGTATATACATATGTCAAAACTTAACTATATATTTTAAATATATTCAGCTCCTGAAACAAATAAAAGCTATGTACTTCTCTTCCATGGTAGAAAGTTAGTAAGATAATATTTAAAATGGAAAAATCAAGAAGTAAACATATTAATGTATAACTGAGGGATATAAAGTTTAAATACCAAAGAACCAGCTAAATGTTGACAGCATTTGTTTTTTTTTTTATAGAAAGCAGAAACTGGAACTGACATAAAGGATTTCTGGTTTTCATTTAGAAAAACAAAAGAAGTTTCCTCTTTAAACTATGTGCATATATCACTTTAGTGGAAAAAAAATACTGTATTTAAAAAATAGGTAGAAAACAAAAAGGGCTTAATTATAAGACAAATCTGTGCTAGTTTATTTATCTGTACAATTAATTTACCAAAGCACGAATAAGGGTGACTTCAGTTTATTCATGTTATGTATAAAATGTGGCTGAATTTTATTTGCTAATTGAATGTTTTCCACTTTGCGTTGCTATTATAGAGCTGCCAGAATGGTAAAAACCCAAAATGTTTAGCCTGAAAGGAAGAACAAATGATTCTCTTCTTTTAAAACTTGTTTTGTAAAGATTAATTAAACTTCTATGCAGTTATTTTCTGTACTTTATTGATTCAGGATTACTTGTACTCTGTAAATGTGTTGAATTATTTACACATCATGGGCAGCTAATGCTAATTTAGAACATACCCAGTGGGACCTCAGAGCCCTGAAATGCTAAATGTAATCTGGGGATCAGTAACATTCCATTCATAAAATGTGTCACCCACAGGTTAATGGAAATAAACAATAGGAAAGACAATGGATGGATTATGCAAATACACTGAAAAGATTAAGCAGGGGGAGGGGACTACAAGAACTCAATTTGTGTTTTATTTAAGCGTGGATTAAGGTTTATAGTATACAAAATGATTAAAGGTACTTTGCTAATTTGCTAATGCTCTTAAAAGCATCACTGCACAGGAGAAACTATCAAAATAAATTGGTTATGGCTTTTTTTGTGCCTGTGGGTGTAGGGTAGCAGAGTACATGGCAGCAAGATTAAGAGAGAACATTTTTTAGCAGTAAATACAATGATAAATGAAATATTCTGTTAAATAAAACTTGAGTGACTGGATTTATATAACATTTATTTGCATCCGTGTGAAACTAGTGAACGTTTCATGAATATAAAATTCAATTCTAATATAAATTAAACTGCTTTGTTTTAAAAGGAGAAATCAATCACTTTTTTCTTTAAAACTTAGATGTAACATATTTGCTTTTGGGGGAAATATGTTTAAATTACAGTATGAGAAACATAATTTTATTATTAATTATATCTGAGAAAATATGTCCACTAAGTTCCTGAATTGTGCAAGAGGATGTGGAGATATGTAAACTTCTTTCCAAGTTATTAGATTGCAGATTTCTAAGTCAGAGCAAGGTGGCATCTTAAAGACAGCCCAGCTGCCTCTAGCACTTGATCCTGGGGTGGGAACTGCAGTCCTGGGAGAGGGTGCTTTGCTGAATCTTGTTCAACAAAACAAGGAGCTCCAAAAAGATGAAATGGCCCTGATGTTCAGTATTGTTTTAGTGGAAATTGACCTGAAGAAGGATGCCCTGGTGAAGAGCAATAAACCTGTTACCATCATGTGGCAATGAAATTCTGAGTAGCCCACTCACTCTCCAGCCTGTCTGGCATTGCTTTCAGAACATCCCCATGACCTGCCCTCCATTTGTTGGTGTGCAACAGGAATACGTAGGACTAGAAATACTTGGGACAAATGACTGTAGACAAAAGAACTGCAGAGGGAATATGTGTATTGTATGGGGAGATGGGAAAGTTAGACACCATGGTAGACAGGAAAATGTCAGCAAAGGGAAGAGCTGGAATCTTCTTGTGGTGTATGTGCCCACCCAAGCCACGCATAGCCATAGGAGAAAGTGGGAGAGAAAGTTCATTTTCTCTTAGAACTTGAATAACAATCCTTAAACAGGAAATTATTGGAGAATGCATATTATTGCTTTAGTCATGACCCTTGAGGTTCTTTTCTTTACTGTATTTGTTTAAAACATGTATCATCAAAACGTGCAGAATCTTTTTCATCACAGCTTATGCCTTTATTGTTTAAGACATTGAAATCCTAGGGTTAGGTAAACTTTTAACAGTTAAAATTTCCCTGGTTGAGTTGATGCTAAAATATTTTCAGTTTGTTTCATGGTTCTCCATTAATGCCAATAAATATAAGCAGGAATTATTTTGCAGTCTTGGGTATTAAATGTTTGACTATTGTTCTTTCTTTTGTTTTTAAAGATACTGTTTTCCCTTTGGACGACCTGAAGGTGCTCTAAAAGCTACACTTTCATTACTTGAAAGGGTATGTTTGAACATTACTTTATAAATACTATTTGCATTCTCAGTTGCTGTGTACTTTAGTTATTGAACTAGGGAGACAGAACCCATTAGGCTATATTCTCTACGATTCCTTCATATTTCATGGGTTTCTTACCTTTTCTTACTACATTCAGATTCTGTCTATAGCACTTCGTTCTCCCTGAAGCCTTTCTGAAGCCTGAAGCCTGTCTGAACACTGCCATCCTATCCTCATATTACAGCATCTTTTTGGTAGTATTCACTTTTTCTACCTCTTTATTTCCCTCATGAAATAGTCTTTTTTCTTGCTTTTTGGACTTCACAGTTGTCTTTCATTGTCCTCCAACTTTATTTGTACTTCTAGTACCTGTCATAGTCCTCATGCCAACAAGTTCATTTACCATTCAAAAACATATCATTTCTTTCATCAGCATTCATCACAGAATTTCTTTCTATTACTCCAATGTGTGTGTTACCTTGAATGAATTCACACATTATAGAAATCTCCAAAATATTTCTCCCCTCCAAAATAACCAGCAGACAAGATTTTAAATCCAGGTGAAAAAGTTATTTTTTAAAGAATATATATTCTCTATTTCTATTTTTATCACAATTGAAGTTTCAAAGAGCAGTATTTTTTCATCTGCCTATAAATTTATTAGTATACTTGCTAGATGCTAACAGTTAAATAATGTCGTCAACTCCTATTTCTTACCAGAATTAAAACAAATTTCTAGACTCATCTGTAGCTCATAATTTGATTATCATGATCCTGATTTATTGACTTCTAGCACTTGCTCTTGTCCACTTTCTGCCGAATTAATTTTAGATACTATATTGTTTATTAGCATCTCTATTAAAAAGCAAAGAGAGAAGACATTATTCAAATATTACATCTCCATTTCAGTGATTTAAGAACTTGGGAGATGAGGGCTAGGACTGATGATTAAAATGAGATCATAGGATTACAGATTTATTTTATTTTTATATCCCTGTCTTATCCCTGATTATTGTGCATTGTGTGATGGAAATATGATTGTAGTAATTATGTTTTATTAGAATTTTTATAATACTGAAAGCTGCACGTAACTCAGATTTTTCAAAGTATTTCTGTCATCCTATTCATTAAGGTATTATGGATAAAATAAAATATTTAAGTATTGCTTTATTTTTTGGAACAACATCCCATCGTGGGTACCTATTACAGCTTCTCTGTGTCCTGGTTTCCATGGCAGAGCCTCCTTTCTCCCCCCAGCAGGGAAGACTTAGTAATAGCAGAGATGCTCTCGTGCCCTGCATTGACAGGTGGCAGGATGAACAGGGACCTTTATTCCAGTTATAGTCACTAATCACATCTCCTGCTGAATTGAGACAGAAATGTTAAGGACCATTCCTTCATTTTTATGTCTCTTTACTCACTGACATAGAAAAGTAAAACAAAATATGCATGTGAATTCTTGAAACCTATGATACCTTGGAATAACAAGGGAGGCAGCCTAAAATCAAGGTTGGCATTTCCCTTTTTACATTTGCTAGCCCTTTACCTGTACTTTGCCAGAAAGTAAGTTTCTGGTTCCCAGATAATATGAAATTTTACCTGGGAGACATATGCATTCTAATTTTAACAACCATTTTTGTTATGTAAATTTTGTCACCATGGGAAGTATAACAGTAACATTCGTGGTTCTATATATGAAACAAACAATCTTAAAGTTTAGGAATAATCGCATTTAATGGTGCATGTATGTTTTTTACTATGCACAGAAGAATTTTTCTGGTTGCAAAGCCTAATGTGCAGTTTTAATTAAAGTGCTAAATATTTGTCAGAATAATTGAATTTTATAGAGAAAGAATTTTTTTTAATGATAAAGCTTGCTATTTTCAAAAAAGAAAATCTTGCCTAACAAAATATTTAAAATATTGTAAATCAGTAGCCTTTAAAAAATGTTGTCAAAGGTCACTGATATTTAGATGATTCATTAAGTCAGGGATGATAACATCCTTAGTGCTGAGACCGAGTTAAAGCAGAATGAAATAATACAGCATGAAATGGATGTTTTCATGTTCTTTCACTATTCCTTACAGTATAAAAGACATGGAGCACTTACAAAAGCATTGTCTTCTCTAGATTAACATTCTGCAATATATTTTGTAATTTGAATAAAAGCAAAGGAAGAAAAAATAAATATGCAGAAAATAGTTTTACTAATAGTGTAATTAAAACTTAATGTGAGCAGTTTTATTACTATGAAGGTTTTGAAGAAAATTATGAGTTAATGTAACAATGTTTATAAATACATTTTGAATCCTGGACATAATTGTATTTTCCCCTTGCCCAGTAATGAAACTTAAAAAAAAAAAAAAAGTCTGAAAAGACATGTTAGGGTCCCAACAGAGAATAATCAGTTTTTTCAAAACCATAAAGTTTTTGTGTATTTTAACATTCAATACTCCATCAGCATTTATTTCACTAAAGCAAAGAGGTTTTCTCCTCCCTCTTTGATAGCCTGCTATGGTATTATCAGCAAATCACAGTCATTTAAGTTTAGTGAGATTAGAGGTCTTGATTTTTTTTTTCAGAGTCCAAAGATTATGCTTATTCTTAATAGAGTTTTTGTTACTGTTCTTGAATATATTGCTCAAAAGATTCAAGGCTTTTAAATTAGGGATGTCCAAAACAAACTTTATTTTTTGTTTCAAAAATGTAATCTTGATCTGAAACAGCTGCTCTAATGGTGTCGTGGGTCCCTGGAAGAAAAGTGACAGTCACACTGAATGATGACCTGGTCTAGGGGAGGTTTTGATATGCATAAATTAGGCTTAGGAGGAGCTAAGGTTGGAGCATTACATCCCCAGTTGTGAAGTGCAGTGCAGACCCATTACTCCCCACCACTATACCTAGGACCCCTCTCCCCTTCCTAGTAATAGTCAGATTGAGGACAATTTGTGTAACTTGTCTTTAGTATTTATTTTATGCAACACCTATCTTCTTTCTTTTGTCTCTCTGTCTGTCTGCCCCCCTCACCCTTTTACTTCCTCTCTCGGTAGGTTTTAATGAAAGATATTGCCACTCCCATACCAGCAGAAGAGGTGAAGAAAGTGGTCAGAAAATGTCTCGAGAAAGCTGCCTTGATCAATTACACTAGACTCACAGAATATGCCAAAATAGAAGGTCAGTGCAGTGAGCAATTGTGGAAGTGGCAGTGAGAGCCAACAATGCCTATTAACTGAATTTTCTATGAGAAGTCCTTTCCTTTCCTGAACAATCCTGTGCCATGGCAAAGGGAAATGTCTCATTAAAATCTCAGCTGGTGAACTGAAGAGCTTTTTCCTATTCATTGCTTTAATATGCCTCCTGGGACTCTGCTTGAATGAAAGACCCAGGATTCGTGCTTAAGTTGTCCTTTGTTCTTATTTTGAGTTTTCAAAAAACCAAAAGGTGTTTTCATGGGTTGTATTTTTTGGCATTACTGTAAGTATGTCTAACATTTAAACTATAGGCATCAGATTTTTTCCTGATCAGTAACAGAATAGTATTATGTAATTTTATTTTCTCTTCTGCAGTATCACTCAAAAAGGAAGAAACTTGTTGATTATTGTGAGGGCTAAAAAACTCATAGAACTTTCTTCAGGTTTTTAATTGTTTGCATTGTATTGATGCATTTGAAAGATTAGATCTCTTGAGAAAACTGTGCTTTTTGTTTTTCTTTCTTCAGGCTTTATTCATTAAGAATACTGTTTTTTTTTAAATGTTTAGAAATAGATAGATTGGATTTGTGGCAAAGTCACAAAATCAGCTTTTATACAACACTTTTATTTAACAACATTAATTTATATTATTAAAGGTAACAGAAAGGCCTCAAATTTTGTGCTCAAATTATCATAAAACCGGCTTACATAATAATACATGAAGGATTAACTAGTATAGGGAAAAAATTCTGCAGTTAATGTTAAATACTTCTCTGAAAATAAAAGTTTCTTACCTGAAAATAAAAGCAAGTCATCCTTTACAAAATTTTAGTAACTTTTGATATAAAATGATACTTAAGGAATCATAAATTTATGAAGTAGTTGATATTAGGATAGTTTTACCAAAATTCAGGTAGGGAAAAATATTGATAATTGTTTGTGTTATTATTCCTTTCTTCTCTCCAAATATGGTCAAGCTTTCTAACAAGCATATGATAACCAACCTCCTGAGTGATTAACAAAAAAGCCATCTCATCGCTATAGCAACCAATATTATATCGCAAGAGTAACAACATGAAACCTCCTTAGTTACCAGTTTAACTTCATTAATTATGATATCATGTTGTGTTAAAGCAAGAGCAACGTACATTCGATCATTCGGGGAAAGTGGAAGATAAACACATTGAGTTTCAGTCTTAAATACTTATTCAAATAATTTTCATGTTTTGGGAGTATTGAGTATTCTGATACAGATTGGAAGGGATGATGTTAAAATAGACATATTAAAGCCTTTCAAATATGGCAAAGAGAAAAGTTGTGGGAACTTAAATAAACACTATATTGTTTTATGTAAATGTTATGTACCCTACCCAAAAAAACCTGTAAGAATCATTTTGCTCTTAACTGAGTTAATATTTTTGTCTATTACCTTGTCCAAGGATACAGAAAAGATATATGCAGTATACTTTATCTTTGTATTTTATAGCCACAGAATTCATTTTAAGTGAATAGAAAACCTTTTTTAATTTGTACACATAAAAACAAGCTCGTGTTAGAGAAAAGCCTATGGTAGAGCCCAAAAAGACAGTGAGCAGGAAATTCTCCTACCTATTTTCTTTTCTGAAGTCACTTCTCTCATATCTCTGGTCTAACGGAAAAATATTCTGGAAAATGGATCCTAGCAACCCACTCAGGTAGGAATGCTGAGCAGTCTTTAAAAAACAGCAACAACAAAATGCTTACACATTAGGTGAGAAAAACTTCTATGCTTTTTCATTATATCCCTCTCCTTCTACTTTTTCTTAAAAAAAAAAGGTATTTTTGTTTTATTCTCAGGACCAGACCAAGAACCAAATCAAACTTAAGTTAGAAAGAAAATGGCCTATTACATTATATGAGCAACAAGGGTAGAGTTTGCTTTTCTCCTAAATTCTCTTTTCTTATGTTTTAGGCCCAGCAGAAAAGGAAACAGGTAATTAATATTTTTGCATGCACAAGGCATTATTTCTCATGTGGTGGTGTGATATTTTTTAAAGCACTTTGTTAAAATATGATTGACAAGCTAGCTGTACATATTTAATGTACACAACTTGATGAGTTTGGAGGTAAATAACTGTGAAATGATCATTGTAATCTATACCAGAAACTTGTTCATCACCTACAAAAGTTTCCTCCTGCCTCCTTTATTTATTATTATTAATATTTTATGATAAAAATATTTAACATAAGAGCTACCCTCTTGCAATTTCTTAAAGTGTACTATATTGTTAACTATCAGCATTCTGCTGTGTAGTAGGTCCCTAGGACTTATTTATCTTGTATAACTGAGACTTTGTGTCCTATGAATAATACCACTTCATGTTCCCTTCTCCCAGCCCTTGGTAGTCACTGTTCTACTCTCTGCTTCTATGAGTTTGACTCTTTTAGGTTCCTCATATAAGCGGTATCATACATTATATACTGTGACTGGCTTATTTTACTACTAAGCCAGAAATTCCTTCTTTCCTAAGGCTGATAAGAAGTTCTAGTGTGTGTGTGTGTGTGTGTGTGTGTGTGTGTGTGTGTGTGTGTGTGTGTGTGTGTGTGTGTACATACTGCATTTTCTTCTTGCATTCATCTCAATGAACATTTAGATTGCTTTCATGTCTTGCTTATTGTGAATAATGCTGCAATGAACATGAGAGAGCAGATATCTCTTTGAGATCCTGATTTCAATTTTTTCGGATGTATATAAGGGATTGCGGAATCCTTTGGAGTTCCATATTTTATTTTTTCAGAAACCTCCATTATTTTCCATAGTGGCTGCACCTAATTATATTTCCACCAATAGTATACAAGGGTTCTTTTTTCTCTACATCCTTGCCAGTACTTGCTATCTCTTCTTTTGTTTTTGTTTTAAATAATAGTCATCCTAACAGGTGTGAGATTATATCTCATTGTGGTTTTGATTTGCATTTCCCTGAAGATTAGTGATGTTGAGCACCTTTTCATATACTTGTTGGCCATTTGTATGTCTTTTGAGCAATGTCTATTTAGATTCTTTTTTTCATTTTTAAGTTGGGCTGTTTGGGTTTCTGCTATTGAGTTATAGGAGTTACTTAGATAGTCCGGATATTAACCCTTTCTAAAATGTACAGTGTGCAAATATTTCCTCCCAGTCTGTAGAGTGTCTTTTTATTTTGTTGCTTCTATTGCTGTTGATGGTGTGATGTTTTGTCACTGATGAATAGCCCTCTTTTTCTCAGGGCTTCTATTAGATCAGTTTGATCAGGAATACTGAAAATGCTTTGATTTTATCAGAACTGTTGCTAGTGCCTTGTAGGGAAAGTATAGGCCATTTATCTCTAAAAGTTCAGCAATATTTTTTTATATAAATTTAAAGCAAAAAAAACCCTGAGGCTATATGAATGGTATGCATTGTGTTTTAAGCATATCCACTAATCTTATTTGGAAGCTGTCACTGATATTTGAAGGGCTCTTACAACAAGAAAAGAGGACCATCTTCCTTTATCACTCTTGAAAATAACAGAATAAAAAGCATAAATGCTATTAAATAAGAAGTAAGCAGTTATTAACTTTGAAAGTTGTTAATCGCAGGAATGAACAGAGGTTATGAAATCCCGTCAGGAAATTGCTAGGAAAGAGTTCACTGAGTTTCTGAAATTTTTAATGTTCTATTATTTTTTCTTGCACCCCTTATCACAATTATTAATTTAACTAGACCTGCCTGTTATTATCTGTTTCTCCTCTCTATCCTCTCTTCAGCCCCGTGCAGGCAGGGTCCTTACTGACTTGTTCACTGTTGTTTTCTTGGCACCCACCACTGTGCCTGCTGACACAAAGTAGGCACTCTGGACTTCGGAGAGAGGTAGGAGATTAGCTAGTTCCATCCGAAAACAATAGAACGAGAGACAAGTGATAAAACTTTCAAATCCTAGCATTCTCATTTTCATCAAATTTTGTGTGCAATGTTATAAGCAAGTTTACTTGGATTGTTTTTAACCGAAGTCTTCCATTAAGGGCTCTATTTATTTTCTTTTCTTTTCTTTTTTTTTTTTTTTTGTCCTACCTTTTTCAATATTTGACCCTAGAAAGTGACAGGAACAAAACACTCAGAGCCACAAAGAGGAGAAAGAACATACCTACAATGATTGCTAAGTGCACTTTACAGAAAAATGAATTAGAAAAAAATATGGGACTGATTATCCCCTCTTATGACAGTACATTGTAATAGCAGTAGTCCCATGCTCTTGAGCAAACTTTTTCAGAACCTCTTAAGGCATTTTATCCCCCACATTCCTGTTGCAAAAACAGCTTTCATCCTAGTTTACACACAAGAAATTTAGGGTTGTTCACGGCTTTCTCACTGCCGTGGAGTAAATAACTCAGCCAGCTGGAACTGGACTTAGGTAATCCCTAACCTGCAGAAGCTATGCTTCTTCTGGGAGATATGAAAGGGTCAGAGTATGCCTTCTTGAAGCCTGGGGCAGAGGCACTGTGTAGAGTTGCGTGACCTCCTTAAAAAAAACAGGAGGGAGTTGTCCCCTGTGTACCTTGCTTCCATCAGACAGAAATCTTCTCCTCGTAGTGACTTAGCAGTCCATACCACTGGTCAACCGTACAGGTCGGCAACTCCAGGAAAAATACTTTTATTAAAATTAAATGCTTGTTTAGAAAAGAGAAAAATCAGTCAGGCACAGTGGCTCACACATGTAATTCCAGCACTTTGGAAAGCCAAGGCGGGTGGATCACCTGAGGTCAGGGGTTCCAGACCAGACTGACCAACATGGTGAAATCCTGTCTCTACTGAAAATACAAAATTAACTGGGAGTAGGGCTACATGCCTCCAATCCTAACTACTTGGGAACCTGAGGCAGGAGAATCGCTTGAACCTGGGAGGCAGAAGTTGCAGTGAGCCGAGATCATGCCATTGCATTCCAGCCTGGACAACAAGAGCGAATCTCCATCTCAAAAAAAAAAAAAAAAAAAAAAAAGAAAAAATCAATGCAAATTTGTGTAATTTAAATTGATTGAAGGAAAATCTAATCTTAATTTATGAATGTTCTGAAGTAACAGAAGAGGAGGTTTTTAGAAATGTTGTTATATTCCAGGGTGGGCAGGGTGGCTCATACCTTTGATCTCAGAATTTTGATAGGCTGAGGCAGGAGGATCACTTGAGCCCAGGAGTTCAAGACCAGCTTGGGAAACATGAGAGGCTGAGGCAGGACAATCACTTGAGCCCAGGAGTTCAAGACCAGCTTAGGAAACATAGTGTTAGGAAACATAGTGAGACCCGATCCCCCCCCACACACACACACACACACGCTGTCTCTCTCAATATTATCGATCTCACTGCAGCTTCCTGCCTTAGCCTCCTGAGTAACTAGGACTATAGGTATGTGGTACTGTCAAGATCTCCTGCTTGAACTCAGGAGTTTAAGGCTGCAGTGAGCCGTGAGAATGCGGCTGCACTCCAGCTTGGGTGACAGATTAAGACCCTGTCTCAAAAAAAAAGTTATATTACATTATTAGCATTTGGTAGCAAGTTAACCTAGCAGGGTTACCTTGTAAGTGTTCTTGGTGGGAAGATGCTTTTAAAAGTGAGTAAGAATGAAAACATCCATTGCATGTGAAAAAACTCAAATGGCTTGATAATACTTTAACACAGCAGTTTCTTGAGCATTCTAATAATTTTCCTTACTTTATACCCTCTAGAAAAGAGTCAAGCTCTACCCAAAATTTATCATTATTTTGTCATCTACTGACTGCCTGTGTGTCCCAGAGGTTTTCTTTTTTTTTCAGACAGAATCTCACCTTGTTGCCCAGGCTGGAGTGCAGTGGCATGATCTTGACTCACTGCAACTTCTGCCTCCCAGGTTCAAGTGATTGTCCTGGCTTAGCTTTCCAAGTAGCGGTGATTACAGGCGTCTACCACGATGCACAGCTAATATTTTTGTATTTATAGTAGGGATGAGGTTTCACAATGTTGGCCAGGCAGACCTCAGGTGATCCACCCGCCTCAGCCTCCAAAAGTGCTGGGATTACAAGTGTGAGCCACTGCACCCGACCTGTCCCAGAGGCTTTCTATTTATACTGCTTCATTTATTCCTTAAATAGCTCTACAAAATACGTATTTTGTGGAGAGGTCACTGAGACTTTTGAAAAAAAAAAAAAAGCATTAACCTGTATAAGATCTTGCTGTTGCCATTAAAACTGAACAGACATGAGATTCATACTCATGTCTCTCAGATACCAGAGCCCTCTTCACATTCTTTTCACTGACTGCCATGCCTCCAAGACTGATTCAAAGTATTGGCATTTTATGATAAACACCTCAGCTGCATCACAAAAGCCAAGGATTAATATTAATAAAAGCCACTCTTTCTAAAAATAATCATAATTATTTAGTAAAAAGAGAAAATGCTTACGTACCAGGCACTACTTTTTTTTAATACTTGAAGTTCTGGGGTACATGTGCAGAATGTGCAGGCTGGTTACATAGGTATACACGTACTATGGTGGTTTACTGCTTCCTTTACCCCGTCATCTATATTAGGTACTCCTCCCAATGCTGTCACTCCCCTATCCCGCCATCCCCTGCCATCCCTTCCCTAGTCTCCCAACCCCGAATAGGCCCTGGTATGTGATATTCCCTCCCTATGTCCACGTGTTCTCATTGTTCAACACGCAGTTATGATTGAGAACATGCAGTGTTTGGTTTTCTGTTGTATCAGGTTGCTGAGAATGATGGTTTCCAACTTTATCCATGTTCCTGCAAAGGGCATAAAATCATCCTTTTTTATGGCTGCATAGTATTCCATGGTGTATATGTGCCACATTTTCTTTATCTAGCCTATCTTTGATGGGCATTTGGGTTGGTTCCAAGTCTTTGCTATTGTGAACAGTGTTGCAGTAAACATACATGTGCATGTGTCTTTATAATAGAATGATTTGTAATCCTTTGGGTACATA